TTTCAAGCATATGGAAGGTGATATCTATATAAAAAATTGATTGGGTTAGACATGTAACTACATAGGAATTGAGGGATATATATATATATATATATATATGTAAATCTTTCATATCATGCATGGTGAATGGTGATACTTGTTAACTAATCTCTTCCATTGCCTTCTTCTTCAGGCGATACAGTGCAATTCAAGGGAGGGATTTCCCCACTATAATTAAAGCACTCCTTGGGCAAGCGATGATGATCTCCTGGATCGCCAGCTTCAAGTTTCAGTTTTTTCATTAATGGCGTCTCCAAGCTGCAAAAAGATGAACTTTTCATTACTATAAACATGATAACTGCAAGCAATAACACAGCTTTCATCCTTCACCAACGCACTGCTTCTGCAAAAACATAATTTAAATTAGCCCTGTTAATTATATTAAATATAATATTTTAATCATCTAAATTTTAGATATATAGCTCTTAATCTTTTGGTTAGACCTTGCTATTATTAATATTAAATAATTTTATCCAGTAATTATGATATTACTATATGAAATTTTATGAAAGGTCCTAATGATGTTGTAAATTGCAGGACAGGCTTCAACAACTCCTCATCTGCCTTTCATTGCAAATATGACAAATTATTGTCCTTATTTATAAATTTTGAAATTATGAATTAGCCCTTCCCAAATAGGGACCAACATGCAAATATCCTTTTTCTCATAAAATTTAAATCAAATAATTATCTTCAATCTTAAATATTTTTTGCCACACTATCAATAGTAGCATTATCAAAGAACTATGGCTAAAAACTAAAAATAATGCATGAATGAAAGATATTTTTACTCACAATATTTAAGAAAAATATATTATTAATAATTAATACTTATAATTGCATATATATTTATTATTTTACAAAATTGTATGAGTGCAATTTGATCGAATTTCTGACAGTAAGAATTACCTGGCTAGCTTAGGAGCAGAGGGAAATGGATAACTAGAACAAAGTTTCCAGTGGTTGTGCTAATGCTAAAATTTCACTTGCTATTTATAGAGGTGGAAATCTGATCGTCATGCCACACGAATTTTGAGAAGATTCAGCCGTTTAAAAGGAAGGAAGTATAATGAAGAAGGGGCCACTGATGGGAGACTAAGGTGCCTTACTTATCTGATTGGATGTAGTCAGCCGAGTTAAGGATGAAGGCTAACCCAGTTAGGATAATGACAAAAAAATAATCCAAGTTCAAGCCGATCGGACTTGAACATATAGATAAACACCACTGGAAAGCCGATTGAAGGCATCGACCTACCTCTTGGTAGAACTGATCCTAGGAAAAAATCTAGTTCTTGGCCAACAGTGGCCAACCCACAGATGAGTCTGAGTTTTCTCATCAGGGAGTATGAATTGACTATACAACAGAGCTTCTCAATCATCCGAACGGTACTCTCTTCAAAGAATGAGCTATCTATTAAGTTACTGTAATCTACAATTTGCTTGATAGTCTAGTATCGTTCCGCCGTTAGGAGCTCCTACTCAGGGATAAAAAATAAACAATGCAACAAAGAGTCTTATAGACATCACACAGACTCTCTTTATTTAAGATTAATTTATCTTTTAAGCACAATGATTCACTTTCTACTCGATAATCTTGCATCGTTCTGCTGGCTAGAGCTCCTCCCAAGGAATCGAGGGTCGTTAGTCATACCATATTAACCAATTTGCAAAGCCTAACTGATCGAAGCAGCTCTGTCAACCTGAAGCCATTCTAGCTGAACTAAGCGACAATGATGGTTCAGTCAAGCCGACCGAACCAACTTACCCATCGAAACCCAAACAAGCTCATCCAACAAAGCCGAAGAGCAGTCGAGTGATAAACTCATTCCTAAAAAATATCAAGAATATCCTATACAACTATCATTAAAGCAGGGGCAAAAATATAAAATCACTATATTATACTCTCTCCCTTATGAATATAGAGATGATTTCATGTACAAAGATACCTAATTTCAGCCAAAAAGGTCAGGAAAGTTCAACACGATTGCTACAATCTACTGTTTATTATTGTTCACTCTTCTCTCACTTATTTCTTACGCTTTATTCCTTATGGTGTGTTTCACAGACAAATAAAAATTCAACACTTCATATGAATTGACCAGGTGTTGGATGGTTGCTATGTATGTATAGACAGAATATATAGGCAAGTAGCAGTTGAAACTTAATAAAAGGTTGATGTGCAATAGATTTGATCTTGGATTCTCCACCATTCTCACAATAAGCACTAATGATATAAGGTTTTGAAGTTGACATTATAATTTTCTCAACGATAAATTGTATAATTAAGCATTTTATGTAAAAGATTGTGCATAATATATTTACATGCATTAAATACACTAAATATTAATAAATAATAGTAAAAAATGGTCTAACAGATCACTCCACATAAATTTAGTTATATTATGTGTACAAAGAATGTGGTTTAATGATAAATTTTACTCATATATATATATATATATAGTTAAGATTATATTTTAAATAGTATAAAAAGCCATAATTTTTTTTTATAAAATGTTGTTAAATATCTATTCTTTAATATTAATTAATATTTGGAAGATTTGCAAACATACCGCTTAATTCTTATGTATTTATGTGTAACACCTACACTTAAATTTGTGCGTACAGATGTCGTCTTATATACGCAAGAAAAAGGCTTATTCGCCTTTTAAAAGTTAAAATAGTGATATTTTTCAATGTTGTGAATATGTGATATAAGCAAATTGTGTGGCAAAATGTAAAAAAGCAAAGTTTAAGAGTTAGATATATAAATAAATAGAAATTGTGTGGTATGCATGTTTAGGGTTTAGGGTTTAGGGTTTAGGGTTTAGGGTTTAGGACTGAAAAAATGTGATTTCTTTGAGAGAGTTCGTATGGGTTGCCGTTCGATCGACGGTCGCCATGACCACATTCAGACAGTCATCCGGCCACACAATTAGCCGCACGTGATAATTTTCTCTTCTTGGAGTCAATGAAAGATTCAATTATATTTATTTATTTATTATTATTATTTGTGCGAGTGTGTGTGGATAGACTGGGGTTGGATGGTCCCTTCATATGTATAGGTGGAATATATATATATAGGGATGTAGCAGTTGAAATTTAATACAAATCAAGATGAGCCAAAAATGTGATATGGACTCTCCACCATTTGGACAATAAGCAGTGGAAGCGCATGCTACAATTCAATCAATGACATATATATGGGTTGAAGTTGACATTTTAATTTATTTTAAATGATTAATTATAAAAGAATATATATATATTATGTTAATATTAGTATAAACTAATATGGCACTACCTAAATTTGAGTTATGGTACATATGTTTTTAAGGAATGTGATTAAATGATAACATTTACTCATACTTTCTCTTAAAATTATGCTTAAAAATACACATTTCAGCCAATATTATAGAAGAAATTAATGTGATGATCTATTTTGCATCCAAAATGGTTGGTTAGACATTGTTTTATTTATAAAATGTAGCTAAATAGCTACTTTCTAGTATTAAATATTTCTTCATAATTTTAATTTATGTGTAAAAAATACATGCCGACACAAAGCTTTGTACGCTTGCTGATCATCTTGTCTAGAACGACTCGTAAGTAGCCACACGTCGTAATCATGCCGATCTGATTCTGGTACTAATTATTGTACAAAACAATGTAGG